TACTGAATGGGGAATAAATAAAATGCTTTTCTCTCAGATGTTGAAAATGACAAGGATGTCCGCTTTTGCCACTGTTATGTAACAGTACTGGAAGTCCTAGCTAGAACAGATGAGAGAAAGAAATAAAGCGCATCCAAATTGAAAAGGAAGAAATCAAATTATCCTTGTTTTCAGTTGATATGATCTTCTATTTAAAAAGTCTAAACACTTGCCTTAAAAAAGCATGAGAACTCATAAAAATATTCAGTAGATTTTCAGGATACAAAATCCTAGAAAATAAAGTTACTGAGAATTGATAATTCTAGTTAATGTATGGTAATTAAAGCTGCTGAAGAACTTAAGAGAAACAAGCCTGTATGCAAAGTAAGTAAGTAAATTAAGAAATGATTTTTATAAGAAAAGTCACCAGGAATGAGGATATGTGTTTTAAGAAAAAAAAAACAAAACTGGAGTAATATTGTCTGGTTCAGATGGTAGCTAAAAGTTGTTTCAGAATAGATGATGAAAAACAAAAATCAAATGGATGCAGAAAGTTGGAAGAGAAAGAGAGTATTTTGCAGTTAAGTTGCCAGAATTCAAGTTATTATGAGTTTTTAAAATGTGTCTTAATATTAAAACTAAACTAATCAAAACTATAATTTGGTCTTTTCGGTTAAAATCACAGTTTTAACAACGTGTTGCTCTGCTCTTATTAGACACTGGTTAAGTTTTCTCTTGGTCCTTTAAATACTTGGCCTATGAAACAAAAAGATTTTATGTTTCATCAAGATGATGTTCTGTGATTCATATTGTCTTTAGCCAGTATTTGATTACTTAAGAAAACTGAGTTTTCTCAGTATTAAAAGAGCTAACTTTTTTATTTTTTCACAATAACATCACTTTTTCTATTTGCCTTTGAAATCTTTGTCATTTTGGTATTCTTTCAGTTTGTGACTATATTTAACCAATTATTTGAGTCATTTGGTATTTTTAACAAACTTCTCCAAATAAAATTCTAAACTGAGTTCTTTTTGACCTCAACTGACTTTGGGATTTCCTGGATGAGCCCCTAGAATAGCTAAAGAGAATTTGTTTTATCTTTTTTAAAAAGAGAGATGTTAAGCTAATGAGGCTTATTTGATACGCAAAATTGAAGGAGACATATTGTCCAATAAAAGCAATGTTTACATTCTTTGTTATACTTTTAGAAATATGTATGATTAATATACATATTCTAGAATTTTATTATTTTTCTAGAACTCTGATATGTACTAAAATATTGTGGTCAGTTAATAATTCTAATTATTATCTCATTATGTTATGTGGAACACAATGACAAAATTCTATGTAAATTGCGTTGTAATAAACTCTTAACAAATCCGTAAGCTTGGCCATTTAAACATTTTTTGTAATTCACTGAGAGTTTGTTGTTTTCTGCTGATGCTATCATAAAAGTTTTTGGAAGCAGCTGTGATATAAAATCTCAACACAAACATGGAAAAGGCTCTGACAAGTGGAGAGAGATTTCTGATAACTATAATATCGCAATATTTAACAAGATTTAAATCAACTTTATTAGTAATTTGTTCAAGTACACCCTTTATAAATAGAATTAACATATTTACCTTTTTCTCCTTAGCTGATCTATCCTGAAATCAGAAACTATCACTAAATATTCTTATTTTCATGGCAATGGAGGTATTTGGAAAAGTTTATTAAGAATCTGT